AGAAAGAAAGAAAGAAAGAAAGAAAGAAAGAAAGAAAGAAAGAAAGAGATTTTGTTCAAATGTTCAGGATTGTAGGAAACAAAACTACAAAAGATTTCCCTGTTTTTTGGATGAAATCCATATCATCCAGAATCATATGATTGCTGTGGTACAAAAATCCTGCAGATAGACAGATATATCTTAAATAGATAGATGGATGGGTGGATGGATGGATGGATGATAATGATAGATGATAAGTAGGTAGGTAAGTAGGTAGGTAGGTAAATACATGATAATGATAGAAGAGAGAGAGAGAGAGGCTATAGAAAGTCTATGCATTCCTGTTTAAAAAGCCAGTTTTTTTAGATGTAAAAAAAATTAGGTCAAGAGAAATCACTGCAGTTCCCCCCCGCACACACACACACACCCCTTTACCGTACCACATGAGCTTTACAGTTCAACTGAAAATCTTAGGAGGAAAAATAACAATTAAAATTAGAATAATGTGACTGCCTAAAGATGCACACTTATAAACTAATACTCTGACAAAGTACCTTTTGATTTTATGACAGCATTCAATCTTCTTCAAACCAGGAACTCTAGATTTGTGGTGTCCAACTTTGGAGATGTTAAGACCTGTGATCTTCAGCTCCCACAATTCTGCTGCAGGTTCTTCAGAACTGGTCAGAACCTGCTGAAGGCCACCTCTGCTTAGATCCATTTGCACCACTTAAAGATACCAGCTGGTCTCACTCATTTCACAGGATATCCTAAGGAAATCATCCAGATTTAAGGAAAGGTCATATGCCCCCCAGAAAGGCGTAAAAGAATCAGTGCCAAGCTTGTATCCTGCCTCTTGGAAGTATACCCCAAAAGGACAGTGCTAAATACCACTAAAGCAGTGAAGGAAGACCCCCTCCCCAGATAGAAAAAGAAACCATGAGGCAGGAAAAAATTCAAATACAATACAAATAATTAAATCACAACAGTAGCTGTTGCTTGTTAAACCAAGTACCAGAACAAATAGACACAGGAACCAGCCAGATTTCTCAAACCAGTTTCTTTTCAGGAACAAAGATTAATCTTTTTCCTTCCAAACCAAGCTGAATGGGGAAAATTATCCCCTCAATAAACACAGGATTAAACATCACCAAGCACAGAATTAAACTTCACCAAAAACCGGTTTTAGACCAAAACTCAGAAAGGGTATATAAAAATCACGTTTGAATGTCAATCTTTCTAGCTAGCCAAGAAGAAATATTTCCAGGGGAGTATTTCCTCCCAACAGCAATGTAAAAAGCTTAAAACAACCCTTCCCCTTTAAAAAAGTATCAAGAAAATAAAACCTCCTTGGAGGCAGTAAGTCTAGGCCTACTGCCAAGAATGTCATAAGGGTGGAAAAAACAAAAGGAGATTTCTTCTAACTACTGGTTCTCCAAACTGCTTAGAAAGTTAACAAGGGGTTCTATATAGAATTGGTCAGAACCGGTAGAATCCCACCCCTGCTTGGAGGTACTTCTAGACCAGGAATCACCAACCTTTTGGACCTCAGGGACCACCAAACTCATAATTTTAAATCCCGTGGACCACTAATATGAATTTTGACCAACGGTGGCTTGCTGATGTTGTGGGAAAGTCGGTCCCATATTCCA